TGTCCTTCCCCTTCCTCCTGGCCGCGTCCCGAGCAACGGGATCGTCCATTTAAACGTCACGCGCTTCTAAAACCCGACCTGAATCGGGTCGGCCTCGATGAGACCTCGCGTTCTTCCTACGCTCATCTCTCTTCTTCAAGGGCGTAGCAGGATGATAGGAGGGAACGACTTGCCGCTTTCGGACGCCGTCGGTTATAACAAAATCATTAATATCAGTCCGTGCATTATTTATACACTAGCGCAAAAGTAAAAAGGTACGGTACGGAATATAAGCGAGAATATTATTTCCTTTCATGCCCCGGGAATGGGAAATATACATGATCTTCTTTGAAAATAATTTTTACGAGGAAAAAGTCATTGCTCTAATGTATATTTTTTTTTATTAAAGTACCGTTATTCCATTATTTATGTAGTTTTATTGAATAAAATACTCTGGGACATCTGGGTATTTTATTTTGTGTAAAATTATCTTGAAAATTAAAACACGCACATACCTTTTTAGATCCTGCAGTTAATTTTATTATACGAATACTTGCGTTTGTATCGAAAAATTCTAATTACGCTTTTGTTATTCTTCGTTATTTCTTCTTTGTCGGTCTGAGGTCCTTTCTCAAGGCTTGCGTGATGTAAGCGATTAGCGACCATTTTTTTGTACATTGGTCTTAGACTTTTCCGTTAAAAGAATCATCGCTCATCAAAAAGAGTCGGTCATATTGACGATGTATGTGTTAAAAGAAAAAATTTATTGGACAGAGCAGTTTAGATACAAAATATAAATTATTAAAATTATCCAAAGATTTTTTTCTTAAAGGTAGGTACTAGAAAGAGATGGAAAGATTGGACAGGCTTCAGTTAACTTCAACAATTTGATATCGATCTGCTGATGTCGAAGAAGAGTTTCTTCCGAGGATAATCCAATGTCGACCATAGTTACCATCGGAAGAATCTCACACCGCGTGGGTGGACCGGCAAACAGTAAAGCGGACACTAGGTGAGGCGGTCAGAAAGATAAAACACATAGAAAGTCGTACTTG